CGTTCGTTGTAAACCTCTCTAAGCCGATGCGAGATCCCAAATTAAAAGGAACGAGTGTCTGCGTGTCGGCACTGAGCCGTGTTTCCAAAGCTCCTGCGTGGCTCCAGCCCCGCACCCCGGCGACACGCTAGCTGCCCGGCTGACCCCTCGCTCAGCCCCCCGCGCAGCAAGGTGGAGCGGAGCGCCGCTGCGCAGGAGCGTTCTCCGGCGGGGAGAAGCCGGACGCCTTCACGGCCCAGCGCGAAGGGCCGGCCGGGCCCCCATTCTCCGAAACCCCGGGGCCGTCCCCCGTAACTGAGTTTTTCGGTCTTCCCGCAGCAAGCTCTGCAGACAGCTTGCAGGAGCGTGTGCAGAGCCCACCCCGGCCCTCCAGGCTCACCGCCTCTCTCCTGGGCAGGCTCAGTACTTTAAGACCCGACTCGTCCGTTGTACCGGCTTAAAACCCGGTTTCTGATCTCACGTGACGGTTCCCGTTCGGGGCCTCGGGGAGGCGCTGACCGCAGCGTGGATGGAAGCGGGGCTCAGAGATGCCGCAGGGCCTCCGCCGCCTCCCTCCCGCCTCTCTCCCCTCCTCTCTGTCCGTGTGTCTCTGTCCCTCTGTCTGTCCCCGCTTGGCTTCCCGAAGGCCTGCTTTCTCTCCGTGCCAGCCAAGGTGACTACCCCAAATTCAGCAATTCAGAAGAGAGAGAGTGACCTCACATGGCTCCTGGTTTGGGCGGTGGGCCTGTGCCCAGGCCCGGCCCTGCCGACGGGGAGGGTGTCCTGACCGCCCGCCCATCTCGGCCCCGCGGGTGGCGCGGGAGACAGCTCCCGTCGGGACGCCGGGGCGGCTCTGGGAGTTAGGGGACAGGGCTCCCCGCCGGCGTCTAGATCCGCCGGCATCCCGGCTGCTCCTGGCTCTCGCGGGCCTAGAGGTGTTAGCAGGTCTGTGAGTGAACGCGTCCGGCTCTNAAGGGCCGGCCGGGCCCCCATTCTCCGAAATCCCGGGGCCGTCCCCCGTAACTGAGTTTTTCGGTCTTCCCGCAGCAAGCTCTGCAGACAGCTTGCAGGAGCGTGTGCAGAGCCCACCCCGGCCCTCCAGGCTCACCGCCTCTCCTGGGCAGGCTCAGTACTTTAAGACCCGACTCGTCCGTTGTACCGGCTTAAAACCCGGTTTCTGATCTCACGTGACGGTTCCCGTTCGGGGCCTCGGGGAGGCGCTGACCGCAGCGTGGATGGAAGCGGGGCTCAGAGATGCCGCAGGGCCTCCGCCGCCTCCCTCCCGCCTCTCTCCCCTCCTCTCTGTCCGTGTGTCTCTGTCCCTCTGTCTGTCCCCGCTTGGCTTCCCGAAGGCCTGCTTTCTCTCCGTGCCAGCCAAGGTGACTACCCCAAATTCAGCAATTCAGAAGAGAGAGAGTGACCTCACATGGCTCCTGGTTTGGGCGGTGGGCCTGTGCCCAGGCCCGGCCCTGCCGACGGGGAGGGTGTCCTGACCGCCCGCCCATCTCGGCCCCGCGGGTGGCGCGGGAGACAGCTCCCGTCGGGACGCCGGGGCGGCTCTGGGAGTTAGGGGACAGGGCTCCCCGCCGGCGTCTAGATCCGCCGGCATCCCGGCTGCTCCTGGCTCTCGCGGGCCTAGAGGTGTTAGCAGGTCTGTGAGTGAACGCGTCCGGCTCTGCGCCCCCTCCCACGGCCTCGCCTCGCCCCTGAGCCAGCGTCCCCCGGGATAAGACGGCAAGCGAGCACACGAAACCCCCGGATTGTGTTTAAGGGGAGGAGCCAAGCGCCTGCAGGAGAAGAGAATGGGGGGGTCGTCTCGAGGGGCCTGTGAGGAAACCCTTGTCTCCACAGCCCCCGTTCTGCCAGAGTCACACCGGGCTGCGGATTATTTTCATTAAGTTCAATTCTTGCCTCTCACTAAAAATGCTTTCACCGTCTGACGTATTTCGGACGTGACTGTGCTTGATAACCCCTCATTTAATTTAAGCCGCGCTCTGGAAGAAAACACTTAACGCAGATGCCCCCAGGCCCCCGCCGAGGGGGTTTCTCTCGCTCCCGCAGTGGGCTTTCCCTTCGCATCGTGTGGTCAGGGCTGCCAAGGGGAAGAATCCTCACCACCGTCTAATATTCCTCATGGCTATTCCAGCGGGATGTCGGAGCGTTTTAACAAAGGATTGAAAATGCTAAATAAGTCACACGCCTACTTACCCAGATGTATGCAGACAGACACCCTCAGTAAAGGGGGACTGCCCGGCGACGCGGCCGTGATTTGTAGTTTGAGAGACGACAGAAATCACTTCCGATTAGCCGTGGGAGAGAAACTGACCATTTTGGGGTTTTGATTTGATTTCAGAATTACCGTTTCTGAAGACGGAACCCTTAGGATCGTGAATGTGACGAAAGCCGACGCGGGGAGTTACACCTGTGTGGCCACAAACCATTTCGGGACCGCCAGCAGCACCGGGAGCCTGATCGTGAAAGGTAGGGACTCCCCGGAGACGGCGGGCGTTCCCCAGCGCTGTGCGCAGACACCCGCCGCCGGCCTACCCCAGCGCGGCGGGCAGGATGCGATGGGCGGTTCTTAGGGACGCGCGGGGATGAGTGTGATTAAAGGCCATCTCGTCCGGGGCCAGCCGGCGCGGCTCAGAGCCGCAGCCGTGGTGCCCGTGACGCTCTCGTGACATTGTCATGTAGAAAATGTTATCTCCAGCCCTCTAAAGTCCTCTCAAGTCCCTCTAGATGCGAAACTCATGTCTAGGATCACTGTGCCCACAAATTAGAAACCTGCAATGCAAAGACGACTTTTAGCAAACGTGGTTTCGGCGATGACGTGGGCGACCGGTGAGGGCGCCGTCCCGGGTCCTGGGCGACGTGGCTGTGGGTTCGCCTGCTCACAGAGGCTTGATCACCTCTGCGCTGTGCTGCCAACCCGGCCGGGTTTCCTGGGCCTGGGCGTGTGACCGAGCGTCCCTGCCGCTCCCTGCAGGGCGCCGGGTGGGGTCCGTCCAACACCCGGTGGGTGGGCGGGGCCGGAAGTTCTCCCTGAGGCTGTGAGGGACGAGGTTTGAGTTTCCACGCCGTGTGCGTTTCTGTCACTTTATGTTGTGCCTCCTAGAATTGTTGAGTTGAAGGGATCTTGGCGATGATCTGGCAGAAACTGAAGCCCGGGTGGGGCTTCCTCAGGGTCAGCAGTGCCAGCGGGGCCGTCCACCCAGGAATCCCGGCCCTGTGCCCTCCTCGGGTCTCTGTGGCACCGGGATTTCCTTGTTTCCTGTTTCTCCCTAATAGATACACAGGGGCCACGTTCATAGCTCCTTCCATGAGGTAAGAGAGCCAAAGGCAAACGAAGTGTCCAAAAAGAGTACTGGCTGCAATTTCGGGTTCCAGGGGAACGTCAAGAATCGCCTGTTACATGTTCCGGGGTCATGGGAGGCTGGAAAAGTCCTACCATCCGGGGAAGGCTTTTCATCCTGAATGTGCGCATCTGTGAGGTGAGAACGGGGGAGCCAGGGTCAGAGTGAGTCCGTGTTTGGAACGACTCCGGCAGTCGCCGGCGTCCACAGGGCAAAGGGGAAGGAGCTCGGGGGTCTGTGTAAAACAGAACCCCAGCCGGAGCCCGTTGCTGACGTCGGCAACAGCCTCACGGGAAGGGAAGCCCGGTGACCAGCCAGGACCCGGCCCCCGAGGTTCCAGAGCTGACGCCTGCGACAGAGCGTCCGCTAGTGATGGGGCCGGTTATGGAGGCAGCAGCCTTCGGTAGCAGGGAGGGGCCGGGAGTCGGGGAGACCTGGCTTTGAGCACCATTGCCCCCCTGCGCTGGCTCTGGCTTTGGACAGATAGCCAGCCCCAGGGGCATGGAGCATTGCCGACTTGGTAGGGGCGCTGAGGTGCTGAGATAACCCACGTCACGTGTTTAGCACGGTGCCTGGCACTTTGGAAATAGCGGCAGTGCCTTTACTCTGAACCGTATTGAAATGAACGTTTGTGAAATAAATGTCCTCCCCGACCCATTAGAATTGTTAGCAAAGAGAAGGGCCCCCACCAAGGAAATGCTGAGCCTGTGAAAGGTTGGAGACATCGGGACCAGGAGCCCTACAAAGGCCCTCCTGTGTTTCGGGAGGTGGGGCTTCTCCCAGGTGGAGCAGGTATGTTCCGCATTTATCACCCTCCATTGGCAGAGGGGAATTCTCCGTTTCCATCGGAGTCCGTACCCCAGAAATCCCTACGGCCCCTGGACAGAGCCGTGCCAGCAGCCCCGCGGCTCCCTGCGCCCGTCTTATGCCAAATCGCGATACACGGCCTCAGATGCACCGGCGATGAAATGCGCCAGGGTCATCTCACGTTTTGGGTGCATAGAAATGGTGCAGAGACAGTAACTTCTACCTGTTTTAAGAAACTAAATACTTTATTTCTTGCCTTCTTGTAAAATGTAAACAGTGATTCCCCAAGAATGGTTTAAGAGATGATTTTAGGCAGTTCGTAGGTAAACTGGTTGTTACAGATTTCACTAATTGTTGGCTTCTTTCAGTGTGTATTAGGAAAACACTAGTTTTCCATTTATAGCAAGGATTAAATAAATCTCCTTTTAAAGTATATTTAAGTAGCCCTGGCCGCTGTGGCTCCGTTTGTTGGACGTCCGGGCACAAAGAGGTGGCCAGTTTCCTGGCGAGGGCTCACGCCCAGGCTGAGGCTCAGTCCCCAGTAGGGGGTGTGCAGGAGGCGGCCGACTGGTGTTTCTCTCTCTCCCTCTACCTTCCTTTCTCTCTAAAAATTAATTTTTTTAAATATTTTTAAAATGTTAAAGACGCTTAATTGTAGATGTGAGACTATAGCATTGGTTAAAGAAATGTTTTATAGTTTTATATGTATTTAATATCAAATTAAAAGGAAGTCCTCAGCCCAGACTCCTTCTCCGCGGTCAGACACTACAGTCAAAATCATCCGGACAGGGCGTCAGATTTTCTGCCTCCCCCCAGACGCTGTGGGATAGATGGAACCTTATTACTAGTGATACTTAACTCACTAATCCAAATACTTTCTTTAAGGAAAACGCCCTACTGTAGAATGAAACAAATGGTTTCTCTCCTAATGAGCACTTATCAATCAAAATAAACAAAACAAACAAGCGAAAAGGCCGACGAAGACGACTCCGGCTTCATTAAACGCGCGGCACGTAATTGCACCGCCTTCCGGCGGTTGGGAGACTCGGGTTTACTGCTCCGGTTTAATTGGACTTATTACCACCAGCAGGTAATAAGAAGCATATTGAACATATCCATCTGGCGGCGCCGGGAACCTCCGTGTTCCCTCCTCCAAGGCTGTCACGGGCGGTCCTAATTGCCTCGTCCCCGCTCTTTCCCCGTCAGCGTGACTTAGCTATCGACGTGCTGAGGCCCTTCCTGGAGAGGAAGTTGATATTAAAAAGCATAGATCTCTGACCTGCCCCTGCTGCGCCTTCCCAGCCCGTCCCCACGTTATTAAAGTTATATATTTCCCAGCTACATAAATAAAAACCCGCCACTGCCCCTCACGCGTCTTTTCAGGTCCCACCTGCCATCCCACATCTCGCCTGCGAGCCGCGCCCCTGCCGAAGGGGCGAGATGGCCCACGGGGAGCTTTTCGGTTCAGGAAACGTTTGAGGGTCAATATGGTTTGTTTCCAGCTAGGGTGCGTTTTCTTTCCTTGTCGGTTCCAAGGCTGAGGTGGGTTTTCAGTGGCTGTGTGATCCGTCAGGAGGGAAGCAGAGTGGCGCAGTCGTCTCCCTCTCCCAAGAACAGAACGCCCTGTGGTTTGGGAACGACGCTCTGTCACGCGGACGGGTCCCCTGGGCACGCGGACGCTCAGGAGCAGAGGGGTGCGTGTGCGTGTGCGTGTCTCTGTGTGTGTGTGAATCCTTCCGTCTTTTTGTATTTTCAAGGAGGTCCCGTGGGGGAAGCCAACACGTGGCCCCAACTCGGTGAGGAGTAGTTTGCTCCCTTACGAACCCTGGACCGGAGAGGAGACGTGAGGACTCATGAGCGGAGTGGCCCTCGCCTTCCTTCCCTGGCACTCGCTCTCAGTGCCCGAGGCGGGAGGGCCGTGGCTCCCGAGGGGAGTAACCCCACCAGCCGCGATTGGATTTCCCTGGTTGTCACAGGCAATCAAATCTGAGCAAACCGTCCCAGGGACCGTGGGCCCTTAGGTTAAATGCAGAACCTGACCGAGATGAGAGCCGGTTAATTAGCATTCCCATCATCTCTCTGGCTGACTCCAGCAAGAGCCACTGCTGAAAGGTCGGAGCGGTTGTCTCTCATGCATCCATTCGAGGAGCTCAAAGTGGGTGACTGGACGTGGGAGAGGAACCGGACGCAGGACCCTCAGAGCCACCGTGGCCTTCCATGTGGCCCCCTGGCCGGCCCATAATCAGTGTGCAAACATCCAAGAGCTGTTACTAGGTAGAGATGAGCTCCACCTGCTTGAAGGTTTCCCGAAACGGAAAACCTGTCACCCATCCTCATGATAACTCCCTTTGCAGTCGTAGAACTGCTAAAATGTAATTAAATCTTGGATTCTGTCGAGGAGAGTGGGACCCAGTGTCCAACCAGAAGGGCCTTGTCTTCCGCAGACTCTCCTAAGCCAGGCCCTTGCCTCTTCTGACAGGACAGGTATCTGTCTCATCGGCTTCGCCCTCAGCCTAGGTCGGACATCTGGTCCCCCTGCTGTTGGCACTAACACTTCTTGATGGCGAGACAATGGAAATCGATTACAGGGGCCAGGCCAGGTGCTGCGGGGACCCCGTGCAGCCCAGATAGGAGGGGTGGCCAGAAGACACAAAAGACGGGCATTTCCCGCCCTCTGGATTCTGCGGCCGAGGGCCCCCAAGCATCCCAGTTGCCTGGGTGTCTTTTAATACCTGTGCACTCCTGGACCCTCCCCTGGACCTGCCCCTGGACCTGCCCCTGACCCTCGAACCCAGGCCTCCAGGGGTGAGGCCCAGGAATCGTCACGGTTCACAAGTTTCCCGGGAAATGCCTACATACGGCAGAAGTGTTAGAGCAGAGGGAGTTATTTCTATTCAATAAAAGGAGAGAGTTTCAGATAATTAGAAGCACAAGATGAAGCTAGTGATCTTTGTGTTACTGAAGACGTGCGTTGCAGTGGGACACAGGCTCGGGATCGCAGGAGGCGGGGGGGGCGCGGGCCTGGGCGGCCGCAGGGAGGCTTCTGGCCCTGTCAGCGTTCTCGGGCCAGCGCCGGGGACGGTGCGGCCGCCCCTCGGAACGTCGTTCTGCGGGCCTGTGGTTTTGGAAACGTTCCTGCCCCTGCGCTTTCCCACCCCCGAGCCAGAGCTTACCCCGGGTGGAATTGTCTCATCAGCTTTATGTTCTCGTTCCGGGCTTTCTGTTTTCCGCTCCCAGCGTGAGTTTATCCACAATCAGCAGCGCAGTGCGGGCTGAGGAGGTTATTGTGCTAATTATGAGGAACGCAGTCTTAAAACAGAG